GGCCAATAAATTGACGTCACATCCGAACAGATGTTTTTTTTTGTTTGTTTGTTTGTTTGTTTTTTTTTACTTTTTCTTATTACAATAAACAATAAAGAAATCTAACAAAGAAAGAACGTATGACAATCTAAAAATATACAATATAAATATTATTGTATTACAAACCAAGATTCACATTTCACACCTCCCGCACATTATCCAAAAAGACATCCAAAGACAAGGGAACCTGTTTGGTACCTCTGTTTCTGTTGTTCATGCATTTCACCACAAGGTGGAGACATTATCAAAGACAGAGCTTTTCAGAGCTTCACCTGTGAATCCACGGACCGTCTCTGGTTGTTCCCACATTCTACCATAAGAGGGCGACATAGGCTACTCTTGTAGTGAAGGTCAGAATTTTAACATGATGGACAAATTCTGAAACAATTACAAGATGAGGGAATTTCACAATGCTGATTGTCAATACAATAGTAGCCTATTGATGTTTTTAATTAGCCTACTCTTTAAATTAATTCGTGTTAATTGCATTCTAGATTCGAACTGTAAAACTCCTTTTGTATCTGTAAGACCTTCTTGTTTTATTTTGTTCTAAAAAAAAAAAACACACACACACAAAGCAATTGTCTTCCTTTTTTTAAAAAAAAAAAAATACTTTTCTAATATTAAATATTTTTTCAGAAGTAAATCCACAGTAATATCGATTAATATTTCGTTGCATCAAGGACCATTAAAATATGAACTAATAGTCTGAGAAAAAATAGTCTAAAACGGCCTGTTCTGTCTATTTAGAATTAAAACAAATTAGACAAGCAGGGATATCCGTTTCGTTTATTTTTTGTGCAATAATTCAAAGTAGATAGGCTATAGGCCTAAAAATAGCCTACATAAAATTGTTAGATTGCTTGGCATCAGTCTGGCCAATCTGAAACACTGACATATTTCCATTTATGCAGCATTATTTAAACTTTCTTTTTTAAATTGCTGCAAAAATATAAAATTATCCCAGGTTTTGCATTTTAGCCTATAGTCATATTACGCTTTTTTTATTTAGATGAAATAGGCCTAAACTTAGCCTGTTTAAAACAATGATTTTGTCTACGACTTTAAAAATAAAGGCCTAATACATTTAAATAATTTAGCCTATTCTTATTATTTCTTAAAATTCTGTGTTTTTTGCTTTACAATATAGGCTACCAAAATGTTGTTATCCGGACTGTAAAAGAAGAAGCCTAAAACACCGCACTAAATAAAAACTGAGTCGTGAAAAAAGCATCGGGGCAGAGGAATTTGGAATTTATCTAAAATTTATTGAAACATATTTATGTAAATATTAAACAGACCGAGAGAAGGGCATGTGTTTCCATGCACCTCATCAAATGTGCATTATGAACATTGGAGTGCTCGGTTTCTCCGTTAAATGAAGGCACACTGTCAATCCGACACTGCTGTTTACACTGTTTTATCTGCGGGGAGAAAGTAAACACTTGAGCTCTGGCGAGGGGATTATGTCTCCATGGCGTCCCGCTTCAATAGTGCAGCTATAGCCTACGCTCCACGCGAAAATACAGTGTACTCCTGCTTTCAGACTGTCTGTTTTTCGAGAAGAGCTTAAAATATCATCTCTTTAGCTCACTGCAGATACGACTGTAAAAATTGTAGACATGTTGTTCTGAAATTATTAAAAATAGCAACTTTTTAAATATTTATTGCTTTTTGAAAATATACCCATTTATGAAGCCAAAGTTTTGTTTAAAAAATAGCCTAAATTATTATTAATTTTGTTTAAATTCTCGTTTTAGTATAATTATGAAATTGTTTATTATTGTTAAAGTTGGTTAGATAACCTATTTTGCAAATAGCCATTTAAATATACCACAATGGGCCGAATGATAGAATAAAAGCATATCAAGAAACTATTTTAAATACACATAACAAGCAAAACGTAAGAATAAAATAACATTTATTTTCTGCAAAATTTACACAGAGAAATGTACACGTCTCAACTCAGCAATTTCATCCAAAAAACAATCGTTTTACATCTTTTTTAGATTCCTTTTGATGATTTTTTTTGTTGTTGTTGAGAAAATGACTTTGACAAATATGACTTTATCATCAAGAAATGCAATATACATTATTTCGTAGTGTAAAACACAATATATATCACTCACAAGGGGAGCACAAATGTCTACTTGAGCCAGTAACCATATTGAATCCAAAAGAACTTCTGTTCTGTTGAATAAACATGGCACGATTTTACAGACACTGAGCAGAAAAAATATGGATTATAGACTTTCCACAATAACAATAATGCTATTGAACAGTCCCTTTTTTTCAAATGATGAAGCAAATTATTCTAGGTATTGTACGAGCATCACACGGGGGGCGTAATCCGTTCGGTAAATAATCTAAATGGATTGTAACAAACGTGAAGGATTTTAAAATACACAATTTACATTACTTGAAAATACTATGGTTACTCTGCTAAAGGTCTAAAATAATTCACCCCCGGGTCATTTTGCGCTGTGGCAGTGTCAGTAACGCCATCCACTACTTTAACCTTTACACGTAACCATTTTCTTTTTTGATTAATCACAAACTTCAAAGAAGCCACGACCACCAAACACATTATTTTTTTACTAGACATATTTTATGTACAGAAACACAAGGCCTCCCGAGTCTTTAGGGATGAGGAATCTTCAGGTCTGGGAGTCTTAAACACTTTTGTCTACATTTGGAAAACACTATCTCACTGTTTCTCTGGAGTGTTATTGACTAGAGGACCGTACAGTCCATTGGTGTAGCTCTGATCTTTATGCAAGAGAGTCCTGTCTCTGATCAAGTCACTGAAGGCATAGTCCATTGGCGGCCTGAAGCCCAGTGTTGGCATCAGACCTGTGGTGGAGTACGGCATGAAGGCCAGGCCTCTGCTGTGAGCCGAATATGCCAGGCGGAGTGGGTTCAGGCCCAAATGTGTACTGAGAGGATACGTGCTCGGGTCGGAACCAAAGTGTGGCGCATTGGGCTGCAGAGGGGAGAAGGCAGATCTATTGCTGAGCGTCATGCTTCCAGGTAACACAGGCCGCGGGGTGGAGGACATGTGTGACTGTGCGCTCTGCAGCATGCGCTCCGCAGTCCAGGGCTCCTCTGGGCCTTTGGCTTGGCCGCTGTTGTTGTTGAGGATTTGCTCTATGGCCTGCACCACATCTTTACCGCATCCCTGAAGCACAAGCTCCAGGACGCTGCGCTTGTGGTTGGGGAAAACCCTCGTTAGGATGTCGATGGCGTTCATCTGTCGCGATGCTGTGGAGGAGGGCGAGGGTTCCTGGTCGTCTTTATCCGTCTCCGAGCCGGAATCTGAGCCAAGTGGACTGATGGAGCCTGGCGTCTCCGAGCCGTCTTTTAATGGTTTGGCTATCGGGGAACTCACGAGGGACTCTCGATCACCGTTTTCCGAGCCCGAGCCGTGACGCATATCTGGAGACGACATTCCTGGAACGGATTCGGTGTCTGTGGATACGGACTTTCCAGCCGCTTGCTGTGAGGTCATCGATGCTGGTAAATGCGTCTTGCTGAACAACTCGAACTTTTGGATGTTTGATTCTCCTGAAATAGATTGATGCACGTCAATAATTGCCATACACTGATAGCTTTTCCCCCCTACGGATTGGAAGTAGATTAAATTAATATTTATGAGAGTGAAAGGAATTAAATTTAATGAACCTACACCCTACAGTATATATTCTTTGAAAATAAATTTCAATGGCACTTTGAAACACAATATATTATTAAATTGGGCTAGATTAAAAAAGTTCTCGTTTCATGACAGGTTCTTCAGATCAACAAATTGAGTTCACATTAAATAATTTCTATATAGATTCTAACGGGAACCTAAGAATTAATATATATAGGCTACACGTGAGAAGAGTCTATCCACCTACCAGAGTTTGTTTCGTTGGAAACTTGGCCAAAGACCTCATAGTTTTGCCGGGGAGGTATGATGCCGTTGGCAGCGGCCAGGGCTAGACCCTCTGCTGTGCCATAGAGCAGCTGAAGTTCTCTCGCCTCGTTCTCCTCCTGCGCCTGCTGTCTGCGGAGCGCAACCTGAGCGGCCATGACGCGCTGTCTCTCAGCGATCAGAGTGCATTTGGCACACATGCAATCCTTCCATCTGCAGTAGCGCTTATGGCCCTTCAGCGCAGACACCACCCCGTGGTTCCTGCACCGGGCGCACTTGGGCGTTCGTGGATACTTCTCCGTAGCACGAAGCAACAGCGGCGGGCCCCTCAAGAGGCTACTGGCCATGGAAACCGGTATGGAGGCGGCAGCGGCGCCCGGATGAACCTGCGAACCTGCCTGGGAGGAAGGTGGGATCTCTGGACGAAGATCCATATTCTCCGAATCAACAAACAGTCGATCGATAGGTTAAAATGCGTGGACAACCGAAGTCTTCGATTGGAGATGTTTCATAAGCATTGGGTAGAATCGATAGCTACCCGGCGAATTTCTTCAGCTCAGCACTTGACGAAGAACACAGCCCGAATGCCAATGTCCAAGAAGAGATCAGAAAACACAAGTGATTGCTTATGAAAGTCCGCTTTCCAGTGAGTTCTTCAACTTGTTGCCCGCAGTCCTCAAGCAGCCCAAACAAACTATTTCTTTTAGAAATCAGACTTTTGTTTGACACAAATCAAAACAAATTTTAAAAGACAAAAATCCATCGAATGCAATGCGAAACTAACTTTAAACTCAATGATAGCCGAGAGTCTGAGAGAGCAGAGTTTGCTGCTGGAGCCAGTGTGAGACACTAACTTCCTCGAGAGATCTTCAGTGGATACAGATCCCTCTCGATCTATTGTTGCGCCCACGTTTTCATTAGACAAATTTGACAACAATGTGGCGCCTGTCATTGGCCAAAGGGGGAAGGAGCGATCTGATTGGCTTGTCTCTTTTTCAACTGTGTCCACCTGCGTTCTTTTCTCAAATAACAAGCATCACGCAGAGCTAAAACATAAAACTTTTATCATAAGATATTATTTTCTAAAACTCAGGCAATAGATCCTGTAAGACAATTGACTATTGCTACTATAGCCTATACATTCTTTAAACGCGTGGTTGAACGATTTGGCTTTGCAGTTTAGTCAAAATAGCGGTCTAAAACTTGATCACGGGATTTTCTAGAATTTGAACAGCAAACAAATTTATTTATTTTCTTCACAACTGAATTTTGGCCTGAATAAGTAACACGTTTTTTAACGTTTGACAGACAAGATTTTGTTCTAAAGGTTTTGTCTAGGTGGAGAGCCAGTGCCTCGTAGAATGACGTCAATATCGATAAACGGAAAACGGTAAGTTGTCAAGTTAGATTTTAAGGGCAATTCGTTGTTTGTAATTGTGTGCTGTAAACATTGTTTCGTCTTTTGAAAATGGCATTCGTGCAGCATTCATTTAGAACTTAGCTTTTAAGATACCCTGAATTAAACAGGCTGTTAGACTAAAAAATGTTCAGTGTATGCTTGGAATTTCTTATCGATTTAAACAGGCAATGATGATATTTGATAGCAGGCTAATTATCTGAGCTAAATTAAATTAACACTATCTATATACCGCTCAATATGACAGTTTCTCATGCTTGACGCGATAGAAGAAATATTGTATTAAGGCTGTCTGTTTCTTTTTCTCTGTAATATTGTGTAACATCTATAATTAAAACACTTTATTTCTCATTGGCATCGTATTAATTATTGTAAGCTGGTTATTCATGCTTAACCTTGGTTTTGATGTGACTCGAAGATATTTCATGCCTTTATTTTATATTTTTCAAAGATCTTCATACATTCGTTCAAAATACGAAAATCGACGGAAAGTGCGACTTGTAGCCTAGCTATTATTGTTGTTGTTAAATCATTATAGAATTAGACAATTTTATCGTAACGTCCAAGGAATAAAAGCGAGGATTATTATTGTAGGCTATTAGCCATGGTTTTAAAATGCCAACGAGATTCCTTTAGCTTATTTTGCAATTAGGCCTAATTTGTTTGGTCGTGCAGTAGGCATCGTATTTTAATTCATAAATATATTTTTCTTTTTATCTAGGCTAATATTTCAAGATTAAGGTGTCATATTTCTAACATTTTGAGCACTTTAAAACCTTTTGAAATATTGACTAAAAATTCTTTACTGAAGGATTAGCCTACTAAATGTATTCATATAGGCTTTTAATGATTATTTATTTAAGGACTCTTTGTGTTCCATTCTTTTTTTCAATTTTTTTTAAATAAAATGCTGTTAATCTGTTAAAAAAAAAAAATGTTGTTCGCTTACATCTAAAAAGCACCAGGCGTACACTTGAATATTATTCCTTTTTCTGTCCGAATAAGTTGTTCTGCCTTTGTCCAAAAATGTAAAGCAGCTTTCTCATCTCTCGCTGTTACGGTTCTCTCTGGTACCTGGACTTTGAATTTCACGCACTCTTCGATAAAGTGATGTGGGCCTGCACTGTTTCCCATTGTTTACACACTCAATCACAGTAAGCAAATGCCATCTGTCCCCCCGCCGCTCTCATCTGCACCTTTAATTACCCAACCAGCACACTAATAGAGACGATATTAAACTAAAGCTTTTTGACATTCAAAGTCATTATCTCGGCAGCGATCTCACGCGACTGAAAATAGACAACCCGAGATCATTACAAAACCGCAAGCAGGCGTTGATTGTTCATAAACTGAGAGATGATGAAAGCAAAACTCTGAGCAATTGTGATCTTTGACAGATATGAAAAGTAAGCCGGTTTTGTGTTGCTGTTCTGTCGATGGATGGCCATCATGCAATGGTCACAACTTAACAAACACTAACAACTAAAAAATAAGCTAATGCCAAAAAATAAGGAATGTAGAATACCAACAAATGCTTTTTGAAACATTAAAGCTAATTATATAGCAGCACAATTAACTTATATTATAGCCAATACTGATCTAAACAACGAATTATCTAAACATTAAGAACTTTTTAAATCTCAGAACATCCAAAGAGCCAACTTTGATAGGTGGTTCTTCTATCAAAGAAACACTGAAACCCCCTTTATTTTTAGGCCTAAGTGTGTATAGGCTACATTTACTAATTCTGTTCATGCAGAACCTATATTTTTATGTAGTTTAAATAATGAATCCGTCCCTCAACACACTTTGCTTGAAAAAGAAAACCTCTCCATTGAATGGGCGTCTCTGTGAATTCCAATTAAATGCCCCCGGGCAATTAAAACTGACTGTGGGCACTTAGGAAATTCAACATTCTTTCAACAGTTCATCAGACCTATGCATCAAAAACCCATACAAGTCTTTCACTCCTTTTAGAATCTGCATCGCTGACTGAGTTTTACACCTTTTTAAAGCGGCACAAAAGAGATGCTTGACCCGACATATGTAACAGCATGTCTCTGTTCCTCCAGCACCCCGGAGCGCTATTGTAAGGATCTTTCTCTCCGCTGATACCCGGCCGGAGCGCGGCTGGACCCGAACTGCCTCCCCGAGGAACTCCTGCTGGAATGGTTTGAGTGCGCAGAGCGCAGCAGAGGTTAGAGTAGCAGATAAAAAGGGGAATGAGGGTGCCGAGCGCGCGGATTTTTACAAAAACCAGTGTATTTACACGCTTCATCTCGTCTCCAAGTCCTCATTAGGTTGTTAACCTCTTGTTCACATGAAAAGCTGCCGCGCCGCGCAGGACCCTTGAGCGCAGCAATGGCATTCCCCTAAAGGCACAGAACAAAGCGCTTAAAATAACTGCGTTAAAATAAGCTTTTATTGGCCTACTCGGGATGGACGCTTGCTCGATACCGTGTGCTGAAAATATTTTATTTTCAATAATTATTTATTTAGCCTATATATTCATTTTGTAGTGAACTTATTTTAATTCATGCAAAGATAAGGTGTACTTAGTGCATTTCTATAATAAAACTAAATATTTCCTAGCGAATATTACCAAACACATTTATTTAATCCTCGTGGAAGACGAAAAGAAACGCTTTCTACTTAATTTCAAATCTTAATTCAATCTGTTCGTGGTCTGGTGGGTAGGCTAATGGTCTGCACTATTTAGGCAACACTGTAAAAATTTCTCTCTTAATTTTTTTTAGTATACAATCAACGTGGATGTTTAAGACATTTCAACTTAAATTTAATTAAACTTACTGTTTAAAAATTAGTTGATGGGGCCAAAAATTTCAGTTCTTCAGAGTTAGTTTTACAGTTAGGCTAGTTATATTTAACCTGTAAAAAAAAAAAAAAAAAAAAAAAAAAAAAAAAGATTTTTTTACAGTTATATTTTGGTCTTCTTTTTTTGTTCTAACTGAAAATTGTAAAACTTTAAAATTTCGATTTTTATCAAGGCGTCCAAATGTAACAGGCCATTTTAAAAACGTATTACTGTAATCTTACTGTATAGACGCATTTCCACTTTTTACACCAAGGATGCGGAATCTTCGATGACAGATGATGTGAGTGTGTGTTCAGGCAGCAGCCAATTAAAATGCGGCCTCCATCCATCCACATCTGCCTCCCTTTACAAACGAATCAAACAGAAAAGCAGGGACCCAATGAAAGAGCGCTCATTGAGATCACAGATGGAGTATAGGTTTTTGCAAGAAATTTGAGAAACACCATTGTCCCAAATCCAAACTCAATGTGGTCCCTCACAATGGTTCGGGCTTTGAGCTGCGCCGACTCAATTGGCCTTGTTTTTTAAACTTGAAGTGTTGAGCACAAAGACCGGCCTCCTAAATGTCACAACCGCTCCAAGTGGGGCTCTGCAGCGAGATGCTGTCTGAAAAAAAGAAAAAGAACACAATTATGAAGCAATAATTACTCTGCTTTTCTTCGCACGCCACTGCACCTATTCAGGCCCCTTTAGCCCCATTTAATGCTTTATCCTCGTCCACGATAATCCGAATACCACAGCTTTATTATTTTTTCTTCTCCCTTGCAGAATTTTTTTTATGAGACAGGAGTGGGAAGCGGGGTTTGTGCTAACCTGGACAATGGCCGTGTCAACTTACTTTCCGAACAACTTCTTAATATCGAAAGATTAATGAGCAGTGTCACGCTGAAAGCTGCCGAACACTACGTGAAATATTTAATAAATGGACCTGTTTTAACTTTTCTGCAACTAGGCCTTGAAAACTATTATTTGGCGCCGTTAATTTTACTTATAGCTAGTTGCGAAATTTCTGAGATCTACATTTTTTGGCAATGAACTATTTCGTCAAATACAACCACAACATCACTGAAAATAAAGACATTTTGAATAGCATTATATCATGCCTATTTGCATTATTAATATAGCTCTTGTAAAAGTATAACATATTTTCATTCAATGCAAAAAAAGTATTAGACAGAAATAGCTTAAAAACAGTTTATCCTGAACATTTACCTTTTTTCTTTGCTGCGTAAAATGTTTTTGAAGGACAGCTGACATTTTCATAATAGATTATGAATATTTACATTTTTTTTGTCTAGGACAAAACTGGGCATTTGTGATTTACTGGAAAATAAAATAAAGTTGCAACTATTTCTGATACCAGTTTTTCCCTTGTATTATTTTTGGGGTTAAAATGGATACATCAATGGCCAAATAAGTGCTAGAAAGCCTATTTTGTCATTTACTAAGATCTACTCATTCATATACTGAACCTCATCAAAATATATCACTAAATTAAAAAAATATAAAAATTGAACGATATTTCTCAGCCTGCTGCTATCATGCCACTGCTCATTTCTTTCATTACCAATAACCATACAGAAACTCAACCCTTTTAAATTCAATTGTTCTCAAAAAAAACAGTACTGGCAAGATATCTTAATTTTTTATAAAAAATAACAAATTGAACAGAAATATCAAATTAACTAAATGTTTGATTAGGAAAAAGTGCAATTTTAACAATGCATTAAATAAGGGAAGAGATACTCAGGCAAATTTAATTAAGTTATTAAGAGACACACAAAAAAAGGTTAATCGATTTAAAAAGTTTAGGGGAAAAACGAAATAAGCACAAATCTTTTTCCCTAAAAAGGTACCCTAATTGAGGAATCATCCCTGTGAAGTCAAAAATAAAGTTGCATATGCAGTCTGATCATCTTCAGGTCACAATACCTAAAACTCAAAGACATAAAATCTCCATTGAAAACTCTTGGAGATCCGTCAGGATGACTTAAGTATTTCTTTTAGTTGCAGCCAATAAAACTATTTCTGTTCACACCAACCCCTCCCGCCTCTCTCACTCCATTCGCACACAATGCCCACCACAAATGAGCCCCTTTTTCGGGCGACTCTTTAAGCCGCATAGATTCTGTTTCTCTAGCGTCTCTGAGAAAGTAAACTTTGAGTGACCCTCCAGGTTAGTTTAGTCTGGGATTTCAGCATCGTTGGGTGAGTGGATGCTGTGGGATCAGGAACTGCTTCAAAGAAGAGATCACTTGCATCAAGAATTCTCTTCTCTCACCAAGGGCCAGCAGCATTCTTGACCCTTAAAGACTAGTCAAACATTATTGAACGCTTCCCTTTTGTTATTGAAGAATGGAGTCACCACCTGATGTTGCCAGAGGAGAATCTGTGTCACAGGAAGCCACAAAATTACTATTGTCCGTAAGTAGAGAGTTGGGATCAAACCATGATGGCATTGGAAAAACAGATTCTTGATTGACAGCAGCAACAATTCAGGGTCAGTGATTGAGACGTCACAGCTCTGACAAGTGACGAAAAAAGAAAATCAAATCATGACATAATATGCAAAACTAAATATTTCTAACAAACATTTAAAAATGTTGATTTACTGTGGTATGGTATTAAAATAAATTAAGCATTTTTCATCTTTTTATAAGTTACAAGATTCAACAATTTTTTTTTAAGTTGGTGTAATGCAATTTAAGTTGAAATGACTAAAACATCCAAGTTGAATAAGTTCCTTAATTTAAGACAGCATCTTTATTTATAGTGTGTATATACTGTATAAATATATATATATATATTCTACATGAATACATCTACCTACCTACATATCTATCCAACCACACTGTAAAAAAATATTGTTGGTTTAACTTAAAAAATGAAGTAACCTGGCTGCCTTAAAAAGTTCACTGAAATGGAAAAATTGAGTTAATACAATGAAGGTGATTGATTTAATCATCAGAAACTTAAAATATTATGTTATCTGAACTACATAAATTATTTAAGTTGATTTGACAAAAGAAATAATGTTGTGATAACAAATCATGAAAATATTTTTTTTTACAGTGCATTAATCTCAAATAAACAAATAAAAATGTCATACTATTTATAAAATATTGATATAAAGTATAAAAGTGTATTAATTCTCTCTTTTTTTTTTCAAACAGGACTACTGTTTCAGTTGTGGGAATTATTGCACTCTTCTCATGTTGCTCCGAACACACCTGCCAAAAGAACAATGATGATAAAGTGTAGACAAGCCGGATCAAGCCGAAATAAATATCAGTTCACTATTTAAATGACAGCATTTCCGACCTGCACATCACTCCTCATTCAGTCATTGAAACAGTAATATCACACGCACACACAAGAACTGCATAACCAGCATTTCTTCCTCAGGCTGGATTTGCCAGTCTTTCACACCTGATTTAGCATGATGAAAACTTGAAGAGAATGAGAAAAATCTTACCTTTCAGTACTTGCTCTTTCTTGAACGCACAGGTGTAGATCAATCAGGCCAAACTAAACATGATAGCAGGATTCTGAAACACATTTAAGTCCAATTTACACAGGCATTTTACAACATTTCATTTAATGAAGTTAGCGAGAGGTCACACATTCAAAGGAAGAAGAAGAAGTGTTCACATTTTACAAATGCTCACACTGCGGCTGACGGACACACAACACAAGAGCCGATTTCAGAGAATCGTGTTACCCGACCAAGCTTGAAGGAGCACAAGAGAGCTGTAATTTAGTTTGTTGTTGTCACTTTGAATAAGGTTGCTTTCTCCTTTGTCTGGAATGAATACTGAACTCAATGACCAGAACAACACAACGTTTGAGTTAGTTTAAAATGCAGTGTATGTGTGAGACAGAGAATGATTCATGTCTTCTAAGGGCACATCATCTGTAGTGGAAGTATGACTGGATGCACACATTAAACGCTCAGATTCCTTGCGTGAGAACAGCAAGGCAACACAAATGAAACAGCCTGCAGGTTAGACTCTTTCCAGTGCAAACAATGTCATGTGCACATAAGGAACTGTACTTCACATAAAACATTCAGAACGATCAATTTCTTTAGCTTTCAATACATTCATCAAAATCCACCAACCATCTTCAATTGTCATTGAATCATTCTCATTAAAACGTATGGAGCTGTAGAGATTACAGTAAGCGTTTTAAAGTTCATTGGGGAAAAAATAGGCATAATGATGAATTTTACTGATCAGAGATGTCTGAAGTTCCTCGAACTATCCATCCAGATTTGGAAATCAATTCACTTTTTCTTCTTCTTTGAAAACAGCCCTACAGCTTTGGAACGACACGTGAGGGTTAGTAAATACTATATCAGAATCCTTTAAATTGACCTCGCATATTAAAATGCAGGATGAGACCATGTGCTGGTTTGATGATGCCATGATCATGATATAGTCATTCACACATGAAGGTAAAAATAAATTTAGAGTGGCAAGAGACATGCATGTTCATATATCCTTTATATAATGTATATCAACCTAAATCTAATACAGCATCAAACTTAAAAAGGGAAAAATAAATGGAGAAAAATAAACATTAGCAAAATGAGATTAAAACCAAGTATCATCAATTTGGGTATCGGGAAGAAGCCGGGCTCTGAGGGGATGATGAGCCACGCTGAGAGCCAGGTACTCTGAGAACCTTGGGAAAGGAAATGGTCCAGCGTTCTCCAGGAAATGTCTCTTTTTATATGACTTTTATTTATTTGTCATTTTTAAATTGATTTTTTTTTTCTCTCTCATTTCAACACAAAACATCTCTAAAGAGCAGCCGTCGTGAGAAGTTCATGTCTGTGAGGCTGGCTGTTTTAGAATTTCACACCTCTGCGCTTTTTTTTTTTTTTTTTTTTTTTTTTTTTCCAGTTACCTTACGTTTTGGGTGGAGAAAAAAACATTACACTGCAGTTATGTGAGGAGAGTGATCGTTTATCCATGTGCTTGCGAAGGCCTCCGTGTGCATAAAATGTACACTCAGCATTCATATACAACGCACCATGTGTGAAAGTGTGAAGGCTTGTGTGTGTGCGTGTGTGTATGTGTATCTGGTCGGACATCATGCTAAAAGTTCTTTGCTTATTCTTCTCGTTTGCCTTGGGACGTCTCGGATAGGTCCTACTCTTTGGCCTCCAGGAACAAGGTCTCCTGAGGGAAGAGTTTAGCCTCCAACAGATTCCATGCCGGGTCTAACTGCGTTATCTGGGGAGAGACAAAGGAAAAAGAAGTCAATTTCAGACTTATTTTTCAATGCTTAAGCAATCAAAAAGTGCACATTTTCTTGCAATAATAAATAGTATTATTTACAGCACAGGGTTAATGCTAATTAATCAATAACGAATATACTGTTGATAAAAATTCAAAAATTTGGGGGTCGGATTTTTAATTTTTTTTTAAGTCTAATGCTCACATACTGCATGTATTAGATCATAAAGATCATAAAGTGATGGCAAAGCTCACATGATCCTTCAGAAATCATTCTAATATGCTGCTTTGCTGCTCAAGAAACATTTCTTACTATTACCAATTTTGAAAACAGTTATGCTGCTTTAATATTTTTGTGAAAACTGGGGAGACAAAGTAGAAAGAAGTGTATTTCAGATGTTTTCCATTGCTTAATCAATCAAAAAAAAAAAAGTGCAATATTAAGAATGTAATCTATTAACAAACAGTTCATGAGGTGTGCGGGCTAAGACCGGCCGTTCCTCCTAAACTATGCGACGTGTGGGGTCTGGCCATCTGATGTCATTGGTTAACATCGTAATGTGATAATGTCCCTGTGTGAGGTACGTGTCCTGTTTCCTTTTGAGATAGTTGCTGTTTGTTATCGCAAATGGACCGATCCAAACCAAACACAATAGCTGTGCCACAGCGACTGGGTGAGAACTCATCATCCAGCAATAATCTCCATGAGAGGGTCCCCGACTTCATTATCCAAGAGCACTGCAATCTCTGGCCACACTTTTAACAGCAAACTAACTGACATTTGTGACCACATCTCAGTTCGGGGATTTTCCCAGACGACGAGGAGTGACGAGCGCTTGTGTAAGCGGCATGCGATCCTGCGCCGGGAGAGAAAAGGAGAGCGGGAGATGATGGCTGCTTTGTAGTGAGCTAATAGCAGAGCGTTCTCCTGTTACACGGGGCCTTTGCTCACACCTGGGTGTCCGCACACCGCGCGGCCACAGCGCTCGGGACAGGGGCTTAACTGCAGCCTGGTGACAGGGCTCTGATTAAGGCCTATTCTCTACTCTGTAGTAGACCTCTCCAGCTCTCTGTGCTCGTAATTAAAACACAGAGCTGAAAGCAGCTGGGATAGAAGGTGACAGGGTCAGAGAATAAAGCTCACGTACTGTATTGTGTAATTTCAGTGAAAGTGGACAGGGTATCACAAAGCCGAATAAAAACATGCATGGGAAAAAGAACTGCGTTATATGAAATGAGTTTCTTAGTCCCTACCATGTCTCATTCATCACAATGATACAGAATCAAGTCGATTTTTACATTTTAAAATGCTGATTCTAGTATTTCTATGTGGTTGCAAATGTGTTGAGATCTTACTTATTAAAGAGGGAAAAAAAGTCCTGCAAAGCTTATTTATTGAGAAATGGAGGAATAACTGAAAATCATCATTTTCGCTGGCATTCACAAAATATGTTTTTTTATGCATTAGATATCATGAAATAACCATGAATATCACATTTTACAGCAACTAAATTGTTAGAAATGTATACAGTACTGTTAAAAAGTTTGGGGTCATTGAGTCTATCACGATTCACCAAGGCTGCATTTATTTGATTGTAAAATATTATTACTATATTATTACAACACCTGTTTTTTTATTTTAATACATTTTAAAATGTAATTTATTCCTGTGATTGCAGTCCAGATAAGTGTAACAAGATCCTTCAGAAATAAGAAATCTAATAAGCTGATTTGGAGCTCAAGAAATATTTCATATTATCATCCATAGATAAACAGTTGTACTACTTTTTTTGTCATTTTATGGAAACTAGAGCCCGACCGATAAATATTTTTGGGTTTTAAAATCCGATATTCCGATATTTCAGCCGATATTTAAAGGATTTTGAAGGCCGATACCGATACAAATATTTTTGGGTTTTAAAATCCGATTTTCCGATATTTCAGCCGATATTTTATTTATTTATTTGAAACTGGACATGATAGTCACAAATTTTGTCATGCTTATTTGAGTTAAGAGAACTGATGGGGATGTTCTTTTAATTGTTATTCAAGCAATGTATGTATCGTGACTAACTCAACGAGTGTTGCCAACAGGAACGGTGTAGAGTGCCCTCTGGTGGACAAACTATACAACTCCAACACTCATGACATGGTTCAAGCGTGTTTCGCCCGTTTTTATTTTATTTTTGAAATATTCATTTATCGGCCATTATAACTGCCGATACCGATAGTTTGGAAAATGCCTAATATCGGCCGATAATATCGGTCTGCCGATATATCGGTCTGGCTCTAATGGAAACGTATTATTTGATGAATAAAAAGTAAAAAAAAAAAAAGCGTTAATTTGAAATGTTTTGTAGCAATGTCTGTTTCCTGTCCCTTTTGATCAAATAAATGCATCTTTGCTGAAAAAAAAGTACCAATTTAATAAAAAAAAAAATCATAATGAACTTATGAACGGTAGTGTACTGACAGTTAATGCTGCAAAACTATTTTTCTTTGTTAATTTATGATACCTAATTAGAACTCTGATCCATAATACAAACCCATTCATTCTAATGTCTAAAAACCACATTTTACATTAAAAAGATGAACAGCTTTGAGGTAAAGGCCTCGAAACGCACCTAAGTTCAAAGTGAAAGCGTATTGTCGTCAGGTTTGGCATCTCGAAGGGGGCGGGGGGGATGGTTTGTACCGATATCACACCCGCTTCAACACATTAGCTGTGTTGCCCCAAACCTTACTTTAGTGTGTGACTTATGCCTTTTGTTTTTCAATCTGACCCAAGGGCACAGGAGGGGGTAGTACCAGGGAGAGCGTTGTAAAAACACGTTGCTCCCAGCAGGATACCTTCCATTTCTTTCATATGAAGAGAAAACTTCAAATGAAAATGAACCTGAAAACCTGCTATAACACCAGATCATCTGGTAGAAGTAAATGAGGTTCTAGGGTGGCGCAGATGTGTACCCGTGTTTGTGTTGATGACTGTTCTCTTTTAAAGGGGAATGAGAGAAACAAGGTGGCACTCCAATGGCAGGAGACAGATGCCATGGGTGATTGTTTACATTGTTATCCAATTAACAGACCATAAGAGGAGAAGCATCTGTCAACAAACAAAGCTGTTGTTTTCCTCCACTCTCCTTGTCTTTCGCTCTTTTTCTTCCTCTCACTCCCTCCCTCTTTTCCCAGCACTTGTTAGTTTCTTCAGAAACTTTCTCTTTGGCTCTCCCGAATTAAATTAGGCTTCTCTGTGCAACGCTGGTGCTTCTAACAACACGGCTGACATACAAACGCACACACACAGAGTCATAAAATTAAAGTACGATTAAAACCCTGTAGAGCACCGTTTCTTTCCAACCGGGGATGTTAAGACCAAATGAATTCAAACGTGCCCTGGGTAGTGTGATCTCCACTGATGAACAATATATTCTCTGACTTCCAAAGTAAACAGAAGAAGAAAAGAGATGATTTGAAGGGTGTGGAGACTCATATCACCGTAATCCTGAAGAGGTTTATTAAAGCAAGAAGTGGCCGTGTGATGGAGAGGCCCGGGCGGCTGTTTTCTTTGGGCCTTGATGATGTTGATGGCAGGTAATCCTGTTAAACCTTTAACACACTCATCTTCAACGGCCCCACACAGTCACCAAACAAACACAGAGGACAGCCTACCAGATGACCAGAGAAAAAGGGGCACGAAAAGTTCTACTCGGCTTTTGAGCCCTAAACGGATCGCTGACCATGGCACCTATTAAAAAAATAGGTTTAAAAGCAATTAAAAGTAGCAAAAAAAAGTTTAAAGTTTGGGGTCGGTATGATTTTTAAATAAAGGTTTTGAAAGGCTCTTATGCTCACCAAGGCTAAATTTATTTTATCAAAAAAAAAAAAACAACAGTAAAAACTTAGTAAAAAAAATAATTTTGTGACATTGTACAAATTAAAATAACTTTTTATTTTTTAATATATTTTAAAATGTTTTTTTTTATTCCTATGATGGCAGAGATGTATTTTCACATGATCCTTAATAATTCTAATATGGTGATTTGGTGTCGTGAGTAATGTTGTGTTGCTTAATAGTTTGGTGAAACAGAGGTACATTTTTTTCAAAAGAACAGCATTTATTTGAAATAAAAATGTTCTGTAACACTGTAAATGTCTTTTTTGTCATTATAAAATGTTGATTTAATGCATCTTTGCTAAATTAAACTATTCAAATTTCAGAGTGCTAGTGTAAAAAAAAACTATGCAGCTGAGGGCAAAATGTGGGGAACGAAATTCATACACATATTGTGGTACTCAATATATATATATATATATATATATATATATATATATATATATTTATTTAAATAGCTACTCTATTTCTCAATTCCTATGTACAATAATAATTAAAAACACGGGCAGCTGAATGCAACGTTTACCAGCACTGTTAGTGTAAATATGTTTTCATGTGTAATTTGAGCTGTACTTTTAGATTAAAAAGAAAAGAACATCACTGACTGTCCTGTGTACATTTCTACATCCAGACTATTTGAAAAGTCCTGAGGGAATTAATACGGAGTTCACTGGAAAACAAAATAAAAGAGTGTCTC